AGTGACGGTCTCCAAAAATTTTTGCAGAGGGGGCGTGGCTTAGTTAGGGGTAGCCACGCCTCCTTGTGGTCAAAGTCACTTAGGATATTTTTAACATTTAATTATTTCATTTTGACAATTTTTATAATTGTGAATTTTATCAGCGAATTACTTTAGCTAATTATTTCCCTTTCTGAAGTTTCGCAACCCAATGTTGAGAAGAAGGAGGAGGTGGGGAGGGGAGAGGGGAGAGAAAAAGAAGGAGAAGCTTTCTCTGCGTCCGCCACAGTTGGAAATACAAGGGCTTTTTGTCAGAATGATTTGATTTCAGATTTTCAACTGGTACTGTGTGTTGGTACCCACTGTTATGATCTATGCTGTACGAAGGCACCTTATGAAACGTCGGCGAAAAATCGATAATGTGATGGGTCAGCAAATGGCCGGAGAGCAAGGATCCAACTACTACTTTCAGTTACTGCAAACACAATGGGATCAAAAGGAGCCTAAGACATAGTTTGAGAGTTAATCTGAAACCTGGATAATCCTTAAAGAGAGAGGAACAACGGGTAAAGAAGTAAATGTTCAAATTTCATTAAATATAAAATCTGTTAAGTAGTACTTGAGGGTGATACGGATCTGACCTAAAAGTAAGGAGCCAATATGGACGAAAAAACATACTGGTAGTGGAAAATATTAAATTTACTCTAAATACCAAAACATAAGCCTTAACCTGGAAACCAAAAAGGGAGAGACAAAACTAATTTTCTTTGAATTTCCCATTCAAGTTGTTGTTGTTATGCTCCGAATAAATTTGTTGCTGAACATTCTGTTTTCTCTCACATAATGTTAAATTCCTAAAATTAGCACGACACCAAATTTTTCTTGCTATTTTCCTGGAAATGCAATGTGACGTTAAAATTGTTTTCTTGAGAATTGTCTCAGTTATCCAAATTGTAAATGAACTTTAAGTTATCTAATGTTAACTTGCTTTCTATTCCCATTGCATGCTCGATTCGGTTAATTTCTGATGAGAGACATCTTTGTATGTGTCACAAATGAAAGCGCATCAGGAGCTCAAAAGGTATGCACCGAAAGACATATCTTAAAGCAGAATGAGGAGATCTCCTAACTTACCGTTAGTTTCTGGTTAACGGTTAGTTAGGAAATCTAATGTAAAAAGACTAAATCAAGCATGAGTTAGTCTTTTTACCTAAAACTTACTTGTATTCATTAAATAATTGATTTTGATAACTTCAGAGGCTAGCTCACTTTCCAAGTGTCCACAGATGACAGTAAAAACTGAGCGGTGCAAAGGACTTGCACCCGCTTAAGTAGTG